CTAAGGTGTAAAGTAAATGTGCATATGGCCAAAGGCATATAATTGCAAATGGTTAGTAAGTGGAAATTAAAGCAAGAAAATGTGGTTGGCCAAATTATATGCATAGATCATCAACATTCAACTACCCTACAAATAAAATTCAAATTAGTTAGTGGTGGTCAATTGTTATAATATATAGTACTTTCAACATCCAATACAATGTTTCCTCACCCAAATCTCACCAAATTTCTCATGCAAATCATAATTCAATGTAGCATTTAATTGTGTAAGTAGTAGCTACTTGAATTTCCCATATTACCCCTCTAACCTTTTTGGCTTGTCATTTTTTTTAGCCACTCAGGAAGAAGCGGCGACTGCGTACGATATGGCAGCGATAGAGTATCGTGGGCTTAACGCCGTCACCAACTTCGACCTCAGCCGTTACGTCAAATGGCTTCGACCTCTTGAGAACAATCCTGACAATTTCGAAAATATCCCTAATGGTGACACTGAAGTTAGTACGACTATTCAGGATCCTGGTCAACAATTAGGGTTGGACTTGCTGGACCAGCATCGGGAAAGCCCTAGCCCTACTGAAACCACTGAAATCTCAGCTTACCCTAGTGGGGCCAATGCCACATCAGCTCTGGGGATTTTGTTGCAATCTTCCAAGTTCAAGGAAATGTTGAAGCAAACGGCAACATGTAGCAACTCATCTAGCAACTCGGAGCCGGACCCACCTAAGAGCAGTTTTCCCGATCATATTCAAACATCGTTCGATATTCAAGATTCGAGCAGCTTCGTTGAGGAGCATGACATTGTCTTTGGAGACTATGATTCATTCGCGTCGTCAATGTTCCATTGTGAGCTTGACACTTAGGACGGATAAAATTAAGCAATGATTCATATTTATTTGAAAAAAAAAAAATGAAAATATAGAATTTGAAATTCATATTTATTATTTATTAGAAAGATCAAAAGATCAATTCTTGGGTGATACTTAGAAATTTACTTGGAGGAAGAAGTTAGGATGGATAAACAAAGATGAATAATTATATATTCATTTTGAGATCTTAGATGTTCTAATAAAAGTATTCTTTTTGTTACAATAATATTTTCAAAATTTTCATTTTTGTGTGTAAAGTTTGAGCAAACTTATAAATTATAATTTTATTGGCCCCTAGTCCTTTCTTTTTTTCCCTTTTCCCTAATGTATTTAATACAATATTTTATATTCTATTTTATAGGGTAAATTACGGCCATCCCTAGAGTAATGTTAAATTATAAAAAAAAAATCTTCCATGTTTGGGTAATTACAATCATCCTCTCGAGTATGAATCTTCTAAATCTTATCTAGTTTGTACTCGTTTTGTGCAAAAATGCAGTTTCTGATGCACTACAATACGATATTTACAAGCCAAGAGACGCATCTTATAATCATCTTGTTTCAAAATGTTGAGCTCGAATGGGGTAAGACACTAAATTGGAGAAATATTCCACATAATCAAGAAGATTCTACTAAATTTGACACCGCAAGAGTGGATGTGTAAGAAAATTCATAGTTGAGTGTGTGGTTGTAATTAGCTTAACATGAGGGGTTTTTTCGTAATTTTACGGGTGACCATAATTTACCCTATTTTATATATAAAATATTATTTTTTTCAATTAGTCTAATATTAATATAAACACCTCTCTGCTGGCAAGGTATTATGTTAGTCATTTTCTAAATATATAACTACCCCATTAAACAAAAAAAAAAAAAGGAAAACTCGAAAAAGCAATGAAGAATCATCAAACCATCAACCACAAAATTACATCTTCTAATATGATCAATACATTTTGATCAACACAGTTAAACTAAATTACAAAGGTGAAAACATTTTACTTTTTTTTTTTACTTAAACTGAGCAGCAGAGTTTTGAATCAATGGAAGCCAAACACATGCAGAATGCTTGATAGCCAGTCAATGGATATCTGCATTACAATTTGTTTTTTTAGCTGCAATTAGTTTCTTCGTATTTCAAAAAAAAAAGAAAAAAACCGGTAAAAAAAAAATAGCGAACAGTTAAACGAAAATTACCTGTAATCCATCACATATTTAGACTTCCCCAGCCTCCCGAGTTGAAGTATCGTTTGCTTCCCGTTTCTCTATCGATCATCGAATAAAGCATTTAGAATTGTATATTTAAAATTTAAAAAAAATATTATTCGAAAAGTTAAAAACTCACCTCCAAAGTTAATTGGAAGTTCTTTACCGAGCTCTGGATTTTAAGACCTGCCCTTCCTCTATCTCTGAAATCCAACTCGTACCGTTTCGTAAACTAAACGAAACACAACGCAGAAAAAAATCGGTAAAGACTAAATTTTCGAGAGGCGGCATTATTCATTGTACGAAGTAAGAAAATTACGATTTAAATCGAGAAAAAAAATCTTGCCTTGTTGTAAGAAGGGATCTTTGAGAATAGCTGATGAACTTTATCCTTGTTCGCCTCCCATTCTGTCGGTAATCCATTGATATGTTGTATCTATAATAAAATTAGATAATTAAATGTTGCAAAAAAAAAAAAAAAAAAAAATTCAAGAAACTTTATTAATTTTATTTATTAAACCTGATTTGTATTCTTTAGCTGCATGGATTGGTGCTTTGGTATCCACGCCTTCATGCTTCGATAGTTTCCGGTCCACGTCGATACGGTAGCCGTAAAACTATTCATTTGACGCGACAAAAGAAAACGATCAATATTCGAAATTCGAAAATCGAAACCATCCAAGAATATATATATATATATATATATATATATATATATATATATATATATATATATATATATATATATATATATACATACATACATAGTATTGTAATATAAAAAAACGAGGGACGAATATCTTACTTCACGGAAGCCAATAGCTTCGGGTTTTTCTTGCTCGAGGATTTCAGACAATGGCCCTGATCCCATATATGGTATTTCGATCCGATAATGTTGGAGGTGACTGTTCCGATTAAACTGTCGTCCGAGTGAGATGCTATGCCTTTAGTATTTTGAGCAACGGTGAATTCCGATCTTCCTCTTCGCCTTCTGTGATGAGCCACCGCTAGTTTTCGGTTCTGCCTCCCCTTACCCTCCTACAGTGGCGAAATCGAAAATCAGAATTACATCATCACAAGTTGACATCAATTTTTCAGTTCGTAAATCGTCTCCAAGAATCAAATGCGGGTGAAAATGCACACAAGAATAGTTGAATTTGTTTCCGATATAAGAAAAAGAAACATCAAAGCCTTATTTTTTTCATCGAGTTTGCAAGAAAAAACGCCTCGTTTGGGAACAATGGATAGGACTAGATAGACAATATAATCAAGGTGTATCCAAAAACTGGCCCTCGTTTTGGGGTTTAGTTTTGAAGGCGGTGATTAAAAACGGGCCCGATATTCAATCGAACATATGAATATGAATGATATTGAGTCTCGAACATAATTCTATGAAGGATATTATACCTAATACAATCCTTGTATAATCATAAATAGTTAAATACCAAATACAAGATAATCACAAATTACATTAAGATAGGCAACGCAATCATAATCAATTCAATCGATTTTATCAATCAAATCAACATTCCCAAACGAGGCCGAATAATACTAATCATGAAATTCAAGAAACAGAGCAAAACAATTCTATGAAGGATATTACCTAATACAACTATAATAATCACAAATCTCAAACGTAAGATAATCGTATATTACATTATTATCGAACAACGTAATCATATCCAATTCAATCAATATTATCCACATTCCCAAACGAGGCCGAAACATACTAATCACGAAATTCAAGAAACAGAGCAAAACAAACTTAAAAAAAAAATCTTACATTAGTATACAATGTGTACAAAGTTCCACCGTCGAATCCATCGGGAGACGATTCCTTCACTATGATACACGTACACCTCCCGACATCCAGCGGCAACGGCCTGCACAACAATGCCCTGCAAAAACAAAAATTCAATCTTTATTTCTCCAACTCCAAAAAAAAAAAAAAAAAAAAATCTTTTTGTTATTTTTTCAATAAATAAATTCAAATTTCAGACCTATTAGGCAAAGTGGACCAAGAAGAAACAGGTGCAGCTTCCGAATCCGAATAGTCCCACACATCGGCTGCTGCATTTGGTTTCTCCGAATCGAGAGATTCCCATTTCTTCAGCCCGATAACCGAATCGGGCTCGTTCTTTTTTATGCACACCTGGAGTGAAGAAGGCTTCAACAAATTTTCCTTCATCTGAGACTTCCAATCGGAGAAATCTTTCAAGATTAGATTTTTCCCATCATCGTTAGGGTTTGTGTTTTCCTTGTCGTCGTCGTAATGAAATTTTCCGGGCTTGGCATTTGGGGCAGCGGCAATATTCTCTTTATTGTTGTTATCACAGCGGCGTATGGGGGATCCAAGAGAAACACCATTTCCGCCGCCGCCGTCGCTGGAGGTGCGGTGGTGGTGGTGGTGGTTCTGCTGGATGAGGGGGTTGCGGTGGGTGGAGGTGCAGGAAGACTGCCGTGAGATGGTGGCGGTTTTCTTGCAACCACCGGCCATGGGTTTCGTAATGGGTTTGTGGAGAGGGAGAGAAAAATAATTTTGTTTTAGTTGAACAAGAAAAAAAGATTTATGTTTTTTCTTGGTGCCATTAATGGAAAGCATGCAACGGCTATTTGAATTTGAAAATTTTGAATTAGTGTGTTGTGGAATTTGGGTGGTGTTTAAAAAGTTTAAACTTTAAACGGTAACTTTTTTAATGAGTTTGGGTGGGACTTTTGACTAGTGGTGGAGTGTGTGTTGTGTGTGTTTTTCTATGTTGTCTTTATATTGTTGTTGGGTGGAAATAAGCGCCAATTAATTTGAAATGTATCTATCACACACTTTGGAAAAACTATTATGAAAACTAATATGAATCCTAGGAATATTCTTAGAGGGATAGTTGAAAAAAAAAATATTAAAAAAAAATACACGAATAATATTTTAAACAAGGGTAAATTACGGTCGCATCTGGAGTAATGTTAAATTACGAAAACACCCTCTCGTTTGTGTAATTACAATCACTTCTTAACTATGAATCTTCTTACACATCTACTCATGCGGTGTCAAATTTAGTGTAATCTTTTAGATTATGTGGAATATTATCTAGTTTATACATATTTTACCCAATTCGGGCTCCACATTTTGAAATAAGATGATCATAAAAACGTATTTTTTGACTTGTAAATATCAGACAGTGGCGCATAAAAAACTGCATTTTTACACAAAACGAGTTCAAACTAGAGAACATTTTACGAAAACTAGAAAAATCTGATGAATTTAACATCATATGGATGAACGTGTAGGAAGATTCAGAGTTGATGGTGATAATTCTAATTACTCAAACAAAATGTTTTTTTTTTTATAATATGCTCATGTTGGCATAGCAAACCAGTACAATATCTAATAATAAGGAACGGATTTTGGCGATTCCAATTGGTAACTTGGTAGTGGCAGACAGATGGATGTGGCATGGAACTAAAGATGGGAAGTTTTCGGTTAAATCTTGCTATCACATGCTTGTCACAAGGAAGCCGGAAATAATGGCTGGTGGCGGAGCTGCTAGTGGAACGACGAGCCAAAGGTGGAACCTTGTGTGGAATCTCCCGATACCCCCGAAAGCCAAAATTTTTCTTTGGCGATTCTGCTCAAATATTTTGCCCACGAAAGTTGAACTTTTTCGTCGGAAAATTATGGCAGAACCTTTTTGTCCAGAGGGATGCGGTGTCGAGGAAACGAACTTGCATGCCTTGATTTCTTGCTGCAGAATCAAGGCTATTTGGAGACGCCCACCTTTTGATATTATTGAAGACACTAATCCAACCACGGGCTGACTATGGATAGAATTATTGCATAAAAAATTGGAGCCGAAAGAGTTTAGCTTAGCAGTGATGGTGATGTGGAAGATCTGGGAATTACGGAATAAGAAACTTCATGGAGAGAAAGATATTTTATTGGGTGATCTTGTGAATTGGTGCAGGAGTTACCTCTCGACTTTCCAACGGACATGTACCAAGGCCTTACATGGTACAGTACCCTTCCACTCGGCTTCTTGGAATCCGCCTGAGTTCGGCTGTGTAAAAGTAAATTTCGACGTAGCTTTTCCACGGGGTGGAAACTACTATGTCATGGCAAATATTGCTAGAGATTACAATGGGAAATGTCTATGGTGGAGTACTAAGAAGATTCTAGGTCGTCCACTACCTATCGAGGGCGAGGCGCATGCTGCATTGTTTGCATTAGTGAAGGCCAAGAATATGAGTGTGGTAACGGTAGTGATCGAAGGAGATAATCTTCAAGTTATCAACACCCTCCAGGACATATCCCAGTCGCATACCTCTTATGGAGCTTTTGTCGAAGAAGGCCATCGTATTGCTAGATATTTTAATTCTTGTTCATTTTCTTTTGTTAAGCGTTCGGGCAATATGCTTGCCCACGCTCTGGCAACAAACTATGACTCGAGTTGTAATGAGGGACTTGTTTTGCCTTCGGATTTGGCTAGTATAGCCTAATAAAATCTCGTTTTTTCCTCAAAAAAAAAATACATAAATACATACATCTATACATTTTTCTTTTCAACTGCAAGCATTTCTGAAACTACACATCTTCAATTGTTTACTTTCCAATTTGGACAAAGTTCATAACTTTCAACTCTTTCTTTCTTGAACACTGTCAAAGTCTCATAGTACCACCTCGTCCGATATTACGACAGAAACACGACGCTTTTGAGGAGGTTCTAACATCTTCTTCCCCATTCCACACTGAACCAAACCTCAAACAAATCTGCCATTCAACAATCTTCTCCGGAAACTTCTAGAACCTTCCAATCCCTCACGAATCATAATCCACCTCCGTAACATTATTCAAAGACGTCACCTTCGACCGCCTCACAAGATTCCCTTCTTCATCGTACAAATCAAGATCATCGCACGGGGCAGGAAAAATCCTACCAATCACACGCCCCTGTACGAAAGAACACTGGAATATTCTTTTCTTCTTGTAAGTAATTCCGATCAACACGTCTCGAAAAGTGACATTCCTCACCGGAATTTCCGGGCTTCCGTAGATTCGAACGGGAATTCGAACCCCGTTTCCGCGGACCCCGTCAAAGCTTATGTCTTCGATAATCGGAAGTGCTTTTGGATCGAAACCTTCGTCTGCATGCTCGTTGTAATCAGTCTTGATCACAATACCCACCCTCACATTATCCAGTGTCAGATTTCGGTAATTTATTTTTCGGACATATCCGCCCCTACCTGCGCTCGTCTTGATTCTAATGCCCCTTTTCGAGTTCCAAACGAGGAGATTTTCGATTGTTATATTCGAGACTCCACCTGACATTTCACTGCCTATCGATACTCCTGCACTGTTGTACTTTTAAGGCATCAATACGAAAAGATAACAACAATTGATATATATATATATATAGACACACACACACACACACCTTATCATAGAGCGAACAATGACATTATGTATGAGAATGTTGGAAGAAGGGCGCCCGTAAGCGATTCCATACTGATCCCATCCGCTTTTGATTGCAATTCCATCGTCACCCACACTTATGTAACAATCCTCTATCAACATATTCTCACATGAGTCTGCAAAAGAAAAACCACAATATGCAAATGTAATTCCATGTAATGCAATTATAACATAATATTTGCGGGTCGTCAAACATAGTCCAACTATTTAGTTAATAACGGCTAAGCTCCCCAACCAAACAAGGCCTATATTCGATTTGTTAATGCCCATGAACAATATATTAAATATCTTGATCCAAAATCACCACTTCAATATAAAATGCGGAAAATACATCGATAAAGAACCTCACGTAATGGGATATAATTCGAAAAGTCAATTAAGAGCCTAAGAATTTACCGGGATCAATTCCGTCGGTATTTGGTGCACCAGAGAGTGGAGCCAATATCGTGACGTTTCTGATAGTAACATTCTGACAGTCGTAAGGATGAAGAGTCCAGAACGGAGAATCACGAAGAGTCACATCAGATATATGAATATCTCTCGACCACATTAGCTGCACGAGTGGGCCCCGAGTGTGGTTCAATTGATTCTTTCGATACTTGGTCCACCATGTCTGACCTTGTCCGTTGATTGTACCGTTATGCCCTGTTTTAAGTCTACTCCGGTGAGTATTATTAAACCACCAAAAGAAAAAAATATATATATCGAAAAAAAACAATCGTACGAACAACCCTGATGAAAAATAATCTGACCTGTTATTACAACATCTCTCAGATTCTGGCCGTGGATCAAACTTCCGTAACGCGGTCCAGCTCGTTCTCTTCCGTAACCATAAGAAGGTAAAGGAGGCATCAGTGGCCAGTACCTTTCATCCTGTCGAATCCGATACGGAAAAAAAAGGGTTCTAATATCAGATGTCTCTCCTCATTGTTCACTAACCTTTTTTTTTAATGGGTAAATTACGGCCACTTCACTGAGATAAGGTCAAATTACGAAAATACCCCTTCCTGTTTGGGTAATTACAACCACCCGTCAACTATGAATCTTCTTACACATACACCCTTATGGTGTCAAATTCAACATAATCTTCTAGATTCCGTGGAACGTTCTCTAGTTTGTGCTTGTTTTGTGCAGTATCTGATGCACCATAATGCACCACAATCTGATATGTACAAGCTAAGAGACACATCTTATAATCATCGTGTTTCAGAATATGGAGCTGGAATGGGGTAAAACGAGTACAAACTGGATACTATTTCACATAATCTAGAAAATTCCACTAAATTTAACACTGCAAGGATGAACGTGTAAGAAGATTCATAGTTGATGGGTGGTTATAATTACCCAAACACAAGAAGTTTTTGTCGTAATTTGAGCTGAGGTGGCCGTAATCTACCGTAGAATATTCATATACAGCAAAGTTTTTTTTCCGAAATTTCTGCACAATTTCGAGGAAGCAATTAACAAGCAAACAAAATAAAAAATAACTAAGATAAAGTTAATCTCTATAAATTAATACAGTCGGGACTGATAAAATTCCTATTAATTTAGCGAAATATTAAATTATCGAACTAATAATTTCACAAGTTTTAACGAGCCACGACCGAAAGAAATTATTAATTAAACGAGTTTATTAGTGTATTGAGTATTAATTTGTCGAGGTTCTGCAACACAAATGAATTATCCAATGCTATGAAGAAACAATAAATTAAGTAATAATTGTTCACTCACATCAACTCCGAGAACGACGGCGTTTTGGGCCAGAAACAAAGTCATGTGGCTAGTGAGGTTAAACGGCGCCGTTAGCCAGCGGCCGGGCTCAACGTTGAGCTGCCCACCACCACGGCGGCGGATCTCGGAAACCGCCGTCTCGAAAGCCTTGGTATTCAGAGTGACGCCGTCGCCCACCCCTCCGAAATCGGTGAGATTGAAAACGATCGGCCGGAGCCTGGGAATCGGCCGGGGAGGTGGGGCCCAGAAGCTATCGACGGCTAACTTCTGCCAGGAGATTATGAGGATGAATCCGACGGCCCAGATTACGGCGAGTAGGATACGGTGGGATGAGAGAATTGCAGGGATCGATTGGAGCAGACCCCTTGATTCGGGTCTGATTCTGAAACTGCTGCTGCCAGGTAGAAGCCTTGAAGATTCCACCATTGTTAAACACCTTTGAATTTAAATAACAGAAGATAGAGAGAAAATTCTGAGGTGAAAAACGATTTGATGATGAATCGAAATTTCTTGAATTCTGAGTTCTTTGGGGAACGGAAATGGAAATTTCACTTCACTCTTTTTTTCACTCAGTATTCGTTTTTCGCTTTTCGTTTTTTTTTTTAATATTTATTTATTATTTTTATTATCTAATATTGGTTATAGAAGAGTTAAATACACTTTGCACCCCTGAAGTATAACATACGTAGCATTTATCGTTTATAAAGTATTATTTGTAACATTTCCCAAGTATTATTTATAACATTTCCCCCTCGACATCAATTATTTTATATTAAAATTTAAACCATGACAATCTAATTATTGGATCATAAAACGTAGAAACATAACTAAAATTAAATTATTGGAGAAAAAAATTAAAAGTTAATATATATTATATAATAATGAATGAAAATATATTTTAAGAAATCAATGAACTAAAATAAATTTAAATACTTAAGATTAATATTAGTTATGTATTGATTTCATAAAATTTATCGATATGAATATATTCGATTAATTGGTTAAATCTTATTTATAAAATATGTACGCATCACATCATAATATCTTTAAATTTTAAAATATTGTATTTTTCAACAGATACTTTTAATTCTATAATTTAATTGTTCTTTTAGTTCTTCCTTTCAATAAAAGAGAAATTTTTAAGACATTATAATTTAAAATACAAATTAAATTATGCTTGAAGGGTAAGTGTTATAAATGATACTTTAGGGAGATAAATGTTACTAAATGTATATTTATGGGTGTAAATTGTATTTAACTCATTACAAAATTCTAAAAGATTGCACTGAAACTTCATATCGGTTATTCGGTACACCAAAAATTTATACTACTTATCTTACTGAAATATATGGTTCGGTTTGATAAATTACTGAATTACCAAACAAAATTATTATAAATATTTAAAATTTAATTGAAAGTCGAATATTTATTTATTTCTATAATTTTTAGTATAAAAACAATAAATTATAGTTTGAATATTAATGGGAAAATTACAGCTTTCATCCCTTAAGTTTGCACCGGTTTCACATTTGGTTCCTTATATTTCACAAAAATCACATTTGGTCCCTCCCTTTTTAATAATTTAACACTTTTGGCCATTCCCGTTAATACAATTAGTTCGCCAATTAAGGCAGCGATGGGCAAACGCTTGATTCAGTTAGTTTCAACGGAAAATTGACGGAAATGATTAAAAGTGTTAATTTTTGAAACTTGAGGGACCATATGTGTATTTTGTGAAAATGGAGGACCAAATGTGAAATTAGTGCAAACTTAAAGGACGAAAATTACATTTTCTCGAATATTAATATTATACATATAAAATAATATATAAGACAACATATAAAATATATTATTTTGTAAGACCTCATTATTGAAATTTTGGAATTAAAAACACCGAATATCGAACTAAATAAACAGTTCAGTGTTCAACATGTGTCAAATTTTCGATTTGGCACGGTTCGATCAACTAACTGAGCGGATGAACATCTTTATGGTCCATTTGGATGGAGGGATTTGATTTGGGGAATATATTTGAAATGACTCCAATTTTGGAGTCATTTGAAATCCATCACTATTACTCCAAAATCAACTAAAAAGGAGGGGTGAGGATTTGAAATCCATCTCCAAATCTCTCAATCCAAACAAGTAGGGATTTGTTATTATGGATTTGAAATCACTCCCCCAAGTCCCTCCATCCAAATGCACCCTTAGAGAAATAGAGTATTATTAGTTCCAAGGATACAAATCTTATTTACCTAGAAACTCCTAAATTTAACAACTTAATTATTTATAAAGTGCAAGTGTGTAACCATTTCTAATACTAATAAAAAATATTAATAATAAATAATAATAATAATAATCTTTTAAAAATATAAAAAATTCCGTGCATTGAAGGGGTAAAGTTAAGAGTTATATTATAAGGCCCCGTTTGGTTGCCAAGATAAGCCATGATTAATTAAATAGTTGGACTTAATTTGATGTTTGGTATCCTCAATAACTTGCCGGGTCGACCCGCCAAAATTATATAATCATGGCTTATCTTGCTTATCTTGGCTTATCTTGCCTTTTAATGAGTTTTTTTTGTTGCACCTTTCAAGCTCCAATAAAATAATTGGGTCTCATTGGATTATTTAATCTTATCTTGGCTAATCTTATATTGCCAACCAAACGAGGCCTAAACATATTAAAAGAAAGAAAGAAATCCAACTCAATCTCATAACTTGGTAATTTGCGAAACCACCCCATAAAATCAAAGTAATTTCAAAGCCACCCCTTTAAACTCAAAATAATGTCAAAGCCACCCCTTAAAATCAGTTTCCCGCCAAAGCCACAGCCAGCTGTATCCAATCAACCAAACCAACAGCCAGAAATCAGCTCTCTCTCTCTCTCTTCTTCAAAATCAAGTAAACCGTTTCTCAATCAAAAAACCCTCTCTCTCAATTTCCCAAGAACTCAGTTTTCTTCTCTTCGAATCTAGCTCTCCAATGGCGGAAACCCCGAAACTCCAGACGCACATAGAAATGAAGCATGTCCAGCCGCCGCACCCGCGATTCTCGGCCGAGCTCACGGCGGAAGAACTGCTCAGAGAGCAGAGAATCCCCTTCCCCTTTTTCAGGCCGCTGTCGCAGAGAAAGGAGAACACCTGGGTAATCTCTCTGTTCGTCATCCTCCATTTGATTGCCTTTGCCGCCACGATGATCGTCAACGATTGCTGGGGTAATTCTCACGCGCAGTGCGCGTTGAAACAGCTCGGAAGGTTCTCCTTTCAGCCGCTTTCCGAGAATCCATTGCTCGGCCCCTCGTCTTCCGCGTGAGTCTCTTTTTCTTCCTTTTTTTCCGAGATCTGTAATTTGTGGTCAATTTACAGAATCCAAATTTTGTTGCAATTGGGTTAATTTTCGTTTTGCGTGATTCAATTTTGTGTTTCCCTGATTAGTTTCGACTTTCTCGGATAAATGTTTTAGTTTTGAGTAGATTCAATTGAGGATTTTGCACCTGATATTTGTTTGATGCTATATTTTATTTTCTGTGTACCAATTTGATGATGAACTGTTGATTTTAATCTCTTATAACAATGTGTCGTCGCTCACGTGTTATATTTCACTTGGTGATTCCCTGTTTCGGTCTATCTTAGTTAGAAGTTGGGTTTGTGAGTGATTCGGGGTTTTTTCGAAAATTTGGATTTCAAGTCATGTATACTACTTGCACTTAAAAATCAGATTTGTTCACTGAAATTATTTGTAATCGCCCGTTATATGGGCTCGGGATTTGAAGTTATGTAGAATCTGGATTAGACTTTCGTGATGTTTTGGCTGTTCTATGCACATCCACAAGAAGATAATTTTCTCAACAAACAATGAGTCTAATAGTTTATTTTGTTGCTGGCTAGTAAGAAAATGCTCACGTGATGCAAAAAGTGATGTACACGTAATAGTATTTCATTGTTCTCGTATTATGGTCAATCGAAAGTACACTTCTTGGTGAGTTAGATATTTTGATGCTTAGTCATGAAAATCAGTGTGTAAGACTTCGAATCTTAAGTTCGGTTGATTTCGTTGCTTTAATGGGCCAAATTGCTCCCGAATTATCTAAATAGTAACTTCAGCAGAATATTGATTAATTTCCGATTTTTCGTTTATTGGAAGATTACATTAATTGAGGAAATTGTTTTCTTTGTGTAGGCTTGATACAGTGGGGGCTCTTCGTCTAAGATATTTGGTAAAAGATCATCAACTGTGGCGTATTTTCACAAGCCCATGCTTGCATGCAGGGGTTTTCCATCTTCTCGTCAATATCATTAGCGTAGTTTTCGTCGGACTTCACATGGAGCAAGAGTTTGGACCACGTAAAGTATCATCTTCTTAACTCGCATTACTCTCCGAAAAAAAGCGTTATCTAATTGCTCCTTTCTGTTTTATAATTTGCAGTGAGAACCGGAGTTATCTACATACTTTCGGCTTTCACCGGCAGTTCTGTGGCTGTTCTATTCGTTCAAGATAGGTCATCAGTTGCTTCCTCTGGTGCACTATTTGGCTTGCTTGGGGCAATGATTTCTGGGCTTATCTGGAATTGGAAATTTTACACGAAAAAAGTACTTATATTCGTTGAAACTTTGATAGTTCTTTGCCTTAGGTATCTTTACTTATATTCAACATTACTTTTCGTGTTTTATTTCAGTTGGCAGCTATTATGGTCCTTCTTACCATCTTGACATTGAATGCTATCCTTGGTTTGATGCCATATGTGAACAATTTTTCGAATATCGGGGGATTTATATCGGGGTTTCTTGCTGGTTTTGTGCTGCTATTCAAGCCACAAGTTGGCTTAGGGTATCCAGCAAAAGGGGGTATATTTGATTACAATGTGAAGCGTCCCCTCAAACTGAAGCAAAAGTTCGACAAACCGGTTTTGAGGAGTGTCTCTCTTGTCATCTTCACTCTTATGTGAGTTTTGTGTTCTTTGGCCAATTTTGTCGGTTTTTTAAGCGTGAAATTAGAGTGATTCTTGATTCGTGATTAATATATTAATGCAGATTTGCTGGAGTTGTTGTGGCGGTTGTGGAAGGAGTAAATGTGAACCGATACTGTAGCTGGTGCCGTTATATTGACTGTGTTCCCATCAAGTGGTGGAGCTGCAGTGATAAAACTGTCACTTGTGAGGTAATAAACGAAAAATCATTCTCGCAGTGGCCTCTTAAAATCGTACTATTTCTTAGAAATATAAAGAAGTGGCGCAATTAGAGTTGATTCTGGCTCTTTTTTTTTTTTTTCTTTCTTGATTGTGCAGACAATGATAAATTTGGAGCAGCTGACTTTGACTTGCTCGAATAATGGCAACTTCAGAGTGTTGCCCTTCACTAACATCTCACAAGGAAGAATCCACGACCTCTGTGATCTGATATGCTCGTAGAAGATTCGTGGTCTGTCTATACACACACGCACGCACACACAGTAAACACACTTGGAAAAACACACATGTGCTCTGCTATATAGGAAGACAATGTACTATATAGGTCATTTCTTGAATAGTCTTCTTTGAGGAAGAAATATGAACTCGAATTCATACTTACATATACTGATATTCTACACTTGAGATTGATTAATTCATTTTCATGGCTGCTATAAATCTGTTCTGCTCAAAAGGAGAACAAAATATAAAATTAAAAAAAAAAAAAAAAAAAAAACTTCCACATAGACCCGATAACGAATCGAGCTTGTTAAAGAAGAATATAACCTAAAGATATTTCATAAAGTAGGCCCAAAGAAACGAATCAACTATAAAGTCGACAAATTGTTACTAGAAGACCTTTAGTTTTCCCTTGGCAATGGATGCTTTAGCCAGCTGGAGTTGACAAGATGCTCGTTGGACGCCCGTAAATTCGGAACAGGTGTCGCTCCCTCCAAGGGTGACAGCAAAGTAGAGATAGATTATGCATAGAAACGCAAGCAGAGAAAGAGCTGTCAGAAGGAACCTATGCCGCTGAACGAGCGTTGAAAAGCTTCCGAATTCGCCGGCAACTCGTGTGGAATACTGTCTCTTTAGTGTTGCGGGAGCAAATACACTCTGTGACTGAGTCCTCCTATGAGGTGATGTTATTACAGTGTCGAGAGCCATAATTTACGAAGAGAGATTCCTGCATATGTTTTTTTTCATTCAGAACAGATTTTTGTCCGAATAAGCGGTGGTTAAAGAAAATACACGAAGAGAAAACGAGATATTGGATGAGCAAGTCGGTTACTTAGTCAATCTTGAAACTAAAAATCGTTTGAAATATTGAAATATGAACAGCAAGTTTAAGCTCGTTGCATTAGAGCTCGCTCGTGAGATATAACCGAAAGTGGTAATCATCTAACTAGATTTCATGTAAGAACAATAATTTCTATATATAAACCGAAAGCTTCGTCAATTATGCCAATTCATTTAATTGAGAATCGAGATGTCTGATTAGGTGCTTTTGTGTGGTGCACACATAGACATTTGCAAATGAATCCAATTCAATTAAATTCACAAATTTAGATAAAATTGGTCATCCAAAATCCAAAACACGTGCAAATGGAGTACCCGAAAAACCATCCGTCGCGTATTTTCACTTATTTTCGTCGGATCAAGCAAACAAAAACTTTTAAAAAAATCTATCTTTACTCCAACCAAAAAATAATAATAGAATTAATTGTGCAAAACTATCATCACCAACAAACACATTCATCCATTTCTAATTGCTAAATCCTAGCCGTTAAAAAAAAAAAAAAAACCCCAAATGCAATTAATGATACACCAGTAATATAAACCAGACAGCAAAAATTATTCCAGACCAAAAACCTAGCTCAAAACCAAAATTCATTATCATTAAATTATTCAATTAAAAAAAAAAAGGGAGCCTGCAACAGATCTGCAAGAAAGAAACTTACGAATGAAGAAAAAAAAATGGAGAAGAGAGGAGGAGCTCGTGACAATCACGCGACGCCCTTCAGAAAGTAAGGATTGAATTTCCAATTCAAAGCTAATTTCTTCAACCGAATTTCCAATTTCCCTCAGAAAAAATTCAACAACCAATCAACTGTAACTAAATAAAAAATTAAAGAAAAAAATTCTGTTATTTCTTGGTGGACGAGCCACGAGCTTTCGAAAAGAGGAAAACGAAAAGGGAAAAGTCGGGTCGGGTCGGGTGAAATGGAAATGATTGTTTAATTTGTTTGATGGGTGCTACCTATTTATTGGTTCAAAGTCTGACCCTTGTTAACGTTGTAGGGTCGAGATTTACCCGTCAACGAGACAACGATTTTATGCAATTAATTAATTAATGAAACTTTCTCTGATGGTATTTAATTTATTGAACAAAGTCTTGGTTTGTTTTAATCTATTAAAATTTTAAAAAATTATTGTTATGGATTTATAAAATATATTGCTCGTTATAAGTATTTTTGTGAATATTTTTCTAAAATTATTAGACGAATCTAGTGGATCTAACAAAATTACTATAAGATAAGTGTAGCGGTTGGGGTAAGAATTGGAATGCTAATTTCCGCCGATTTCCATATGACAAATTTTTTTTTTTGGAACAATATATTCCATCATGAATTACAAGAATTCCAATTTTTTTATTTTCCATTGAAACAAATTTGGACTATTTTATGGGATTCTGATTTTCGATCTAGTTTTAAATTTCAAAAAATAATTCCAGAAATTCTGATTTATTATTATTATTATTATTATTATTAATGAAAATCAAATAAAATTTATGAATTTTTGGCGATTCTTGTTAAAAATTCCAATTTTAGAACAGGTATTTTCATTCTAATTTTCGATATTTTGATTTTTGTTATTGTTTTGATTCTTTATTTACAAATTATTCTTCTTCCGAAAATTCTAATTTCGATCTGATCCTCTCATACGTGTATCTAAAATCACAAACTAATTGCAAGTTGAGTCTTCGATTCGGCAGGTACAAACGAAACCACTCCATCCTTAGTGACGATTTGTTCGACCCTACACCCGGTGATAAACATCGGGTGGGTCTTCTGCTGCTACATATATCTTTTTTGTATTTTATAATAGATTCCCCGCTAGGGTTTACCTTTAGGGGTTTTAGAAAAAAAAAAAAAAAGACACGTGGCAGCAGAAGACCCACCCGGTGTTTCTCACCGGGTGTAGGGTCGAAGAAAGCCCTTAGTGACATATTGAACAGAGAAATTGAAATTTGAAACCATTTTATTGCAAAATTAATATACAATATTGCCCATTGTTTCAGATTACTAATAATTGTAAATAGAACTATAGAAAACGATCTTTCAACTGCTACCACCACACTATCACAAACTTATTAATTACTAAAAGCAATTAGAGAAATATTAAATTAAATAATATGGATCACCTTAGAAGATAAAAAAAATGGATGAATTTGATATAAAAAATAAAAAAATAAAAAAAATAATATGGATAAATTTATCACAATAAAATATTAAAATTTTCAAACTTTTAGATGGAAAAATTAATGTCTAGGGGTCTATCGATAGTTTACAAAAGTCAAGGGGCATAAGTCCAATTACCGGAAATAATAAAAAGTGGGCCTAATTGTATTGTATTATTCCAATCCCCAACCCCCATTGTTATTCTCATCTGCAGATTACACGCTTTTGACCATCTCTCGTTCTCTCTCTCTCACGCAGTTAAGGTATATGTGCGTGTGTTTTTCACGATTGTGTTGAAAATTGCACGCTTGAATTATCTGTTCTTCGTTATGAATTTGATGTTTTCCTTTTCCTAATTAGTAAATACCCTTTTGTTGTCTTTCGCCGGAGGTCTGGAAATTCTGAATTAGGGTTTTATTTTTTGATCGTTTCTTATTCAATTCAATATTTTAAGTTAATCCGCCAATTTAATTCGGCAGCTCAGTTGTTCGAATCGCATCGGAAAATCAAATTGAACCTCGATCGGGTGAGGTTTGTGTAGGAGAAAGATGTGGGCAGCTTCGTGCCTAGCATCATGCTGCGCTGCCTGCGCATGCGATGCTTGCCGTACGGTTGTGTCGGGGATCAGCAGGCGGTCGGCTCGTATTGCGTACTGTGGTCTTTTTGCACTTTCGTTGATTGTGTCATGGATTCTTCGAGAAGTTGCTGCACCCCTCATGGAGAAGATTCCCTGTAAGTTTTTCTGTAATTTTGCTATTATTTTCTGTAATTTTATAAATAGAATATGCAGAAAAAATACTTGTTTTGTTTGTACTGTTGTATTATTTCATATGTTGAATACATGATCCTATGTTTATGCTGAGATTATGGAGTTTATGGGACAATGCCTACTTAAGAAACTTCTTATTTTTGCAATTTTGATATGTTTGCAGACTTGCAGCTGTACATTCATGGTGACACCAAAAAAAAAATTATTCCTTGATAAAGAAAATTGTGTGATTAGTGTCACGGTTGAGAGTTCTATGTTTCTTGCTAGGTAATAGTTTGGTCGTAGAGTTTATGAAACTTGGATATATATACTCTGAATTGAAGGAATAAATGATGATTAACTAGAAACATTTCTTTCAAGATTCTGAGTAAATGGGAATTGGGGAAAGAGTAGGGAACCTATTGGTATACAAGTTGCTTGGATGATAGCTGATACGACAGCTTTGTTTATTGATTTTGAAGGATCAATCATTTTAATATTCCTTGATATTGAAAATTGTGTGATTAGTGTCACAGATGAGATTTATATGTTTCTTGCTACGTAATAGTTTAGTCTTAGAGTTTAAAAAACTTGGATATATATACTATGAATTGAAGGAATAAGGGATGATTGACTAGAAACATTTCTTTCATGATTCTGTGTAAATGGGGATTGGGGAATGTGTAGGGTATCTTTTGGTATACATGTTGCTTGGATGAATAGCTAATATGACACTTTTTTTATTATCGATATTTTAAAGGGATCAATCATTTTCATCAAACACCGGATAGGGAGTGGTTTGAAACAGATGCGGTACTGCGAGTGAGCTTGGGTAACTTCCTCTTTTTCACAATACTAGCTATTTTCATGATTGGTGTCAAGAACCAGAAGGACCCTCGTGATAGTGTCCACCATGGAGGTTGGATGATGAAAATTATTTGCTGGTGCGTTTTGGTGATATTGATGTTCTTTGTTCCAAATGGAATCATCAGCTTTTACGGTAAGAGATATGTTTCTAGATTATTACTATTTGGATTATATCATTGTCATTTTCATCTTTCAGTTGCTGTTTTCTTTTTGAAATCTATACATCAAACGGAAAACATCCGAAGTACAAGTGAAGAATGCCACTAGTTCAGTAGTTTGATTTATAAATAGAGATAAAGACAACTGAATGTACACCACATATAAAAGAGTCGGTGGCAAAATTACTCGTCTTTTTAAATGGTTTCAATTAAACTGATCTAGGGACCAAATGAGAAATCTCCAGCATATCTATTTTGTTCTTATTTAAGAATTGTTTAAGGATTATTGGATTGTTATTAACTGTGATCTCTTTAAGCTATTATTACTTGAAATGCTACTTGAACGAAAGAGTGAGAAGGAAAGAGGTTAAGAAAAAGAGGTTCTATTTGGTCATGAATCATCTAAATAGATTAGGATTATTCTAATTATTGTACTCAATGTTAATTTGATTTCTTTCAATTCCTGTGAACACGGGAACTCTACCTAGTCACTGCTTTAACACCTGATATAGTTAGTAAAATTGTAGGAATACTTGACACCCTGAATGGGGATGCGTGCATTGCCTATATTTTAAGGGTACAAGAATGAATTGACATGTTAACCTTTATGTTGCCTATATTACAATATTCATTCTTCAGTGAATTATGCTTTTCTGTGACTTGAGCTTATTTTGGTTTCTAATTGCAGAGGCCACATCAAAGTTTGGCTCAGGACTGTTCCTTCTTGTTCAAGTTGTGCTTCTCTTAGATTTTGTTCATGGATGGAATGACAAATGGGTTGGATATGACGAGCAGTTTTGGTAAGCATTCATTTTGTATTTTGGTTTAATTATTTTGAGGTTGTCTTTTTAAATGGATGGTAGATATTTTTAGTGATCTTGAGAAATTGATCTCTCTCTCTCTCCCCCCTTGATTTTGTAGGTACATGGCTTTGCTTGTTGTTTCACTTGTATGCTACGTGGCGACCTTTTCATTCTCTGGGCTTCTCTTCTATCTCTTTACCCCATCAGGACACGATTGTGGGCTTAACACGTTCTTCATTACTATGGTTCTGATTTTTGTTTTCGTTTTTGCTGTTATCACATTGCATCCATCGGTGAGTATCTAAATTGCCTATTCTTTTTAAGGAATTTAATCTGTGTTGTTATTAATTAGTTTTGAGGATATTGTAACACGTGTATGCTGATTTCGATCCTAATACCGACTGTCATAATAATGTAGGTAAGTGGAAGCCTTTTGCCAGCTTCAGTTATATCTCTGTATTGTATGTACCTCTGCTACAGTGGGCTTGCCAGTGAACCGAGGGACTATGAATGCAACGGTCTTCACAAGCATTCTAAAGCAGTTTCCACAAGCAGTCTTGGTCTTGGTCTTCTTACAACTGTGCTATCAGTTGTATACTCTGCTGTCCGTGCTGGTTCTTCCACCACTTTGCTTTCCCCTCCAAGCTCACCCCGAGCAGGTCACTAACCCCTCTCCTCCTTCTCTTTTAATTATGCTCGAGAAATATAATCATTTATAAGTTAGCAAATCCATCCATTAATTTAGCCACTAAAAAATGCACATAAGAGATCTTATATTACAGACATCCCTGACAGTTGAAATTGGAACGGAAATTCCACGTTCCGTCTATTCCCATCCGAAAATTTCCGTTTTGGAAACAATATTTTCATTTCGTATTCCGAAAGTTTTGATTGTTTTGTGACGAATGTTGGAATACATATTAGATTCGGAATTATTTTTCACTTGTAATATCGATATTAATATGTATTATGTATTATTCATTATATGTGACTTTGGAACAAGTTTTCTCGTTCCAATTTCCGAAATTTAGATTTTGGATTTTTCCGAATTTATTTCTTGAACGCAATTTGAATTAGTTTTTCACTTCCGGAAAAAAAAGGAAGTTTGCCGAAAGTGCTAATTGTGATTCGATCCGTCCAATTTTCAGCGCTAGATCTGAATATCAGTTTTCTTTGTGTGAAGGTTCAGGAAAGCCGTTGCTGCCATTGGACAAGGCTGATGAGCACCACGAAGAGGAAGAAAAGTCAAAGTCGAGGGCAGTTACATATTCGTATTCGTTCTTCCACTTAATATTCTCACTAGCTAGCATGTACTCTGCAATGCTCCTTACGGGATGGTCAACTTCAGTGGGAGAGAGCGGGAAATTGGTGGATGTTGGATGGGCTTCTGTTTGGGTTCGTATTATTACGAGTTGGGCAACTGCTGCTTTGTTTATATGGTCTCTCGTTGCCCCCATCCTATTCCCCGACAGGGAGTTCTGATCTTCTCATATGTGCAGATTTTAATATGTGTGCTGTTGTGATAGACTTTGGTATAAATAAACTGGCTGAATTCTTAATGTTATTGAAGGATTCCCTGTCGACTTTTGCTTTTCTATGTTGCTCGTAAATAAAATGTAAGTTTGGTTTGCTATAACTTCTTCATGTGTCATTTTAATATTTTGGGTAAATTACAACCACCCCTGGGGTTTGGTCAATTTACGAAAAAACTCGTCTTGTTTGGATAATTTCATCTTCCTCTCAATTATGATTTTTTCTTACACCTCCACCCTTATGATGTCAAATTCAACATAATCATCTGGATTTCGGGGAATGTGCTCTAGTTTTGTGTGAAAATACAGTTTGTGATGCATCATAATCTTATATATACAAGGCAAAAAACACATATAATGGTCTTCTTGCTTCAAAATGTGGCCTTCGAATGTGATAAAACCAGTGTTCTAAAAATCGGCCGAGTCGGCCGATTAATCGGTCTCCGAGGCGGAGGCGGTCCCAACCCTTTACGATTTTAGTGTAAATGTTTGAAAAATCGGTTTTTTGCATGTGAGGCGGTTTTAGGCGGACTGAGGCGGTCCGAGGCGGTTTGAGGCTGTCAAACCTTTAAGGCGAGTCAAACTCGGTGGCAAAAATCGGTCAAAAATCGGTTTTATTTTATTTTATTTTATAATTCAAAATAAAAGTTGGGATTTTAATAAAAAAAATATGAGTTTATGTTTAACTGTTATTGTTAAAGAACTAATGATGTATGTTAGGAATGTTCAAGAATAAATGTAAATTAAAAAAAAATGCCTTTTTATTTATACTAGCAAGGTGCACGTGCGTTGCACGTGTCGTAATATTATTATATGGTGAAAATAATTTTTTTGTATCCATATTAGGTTGCAAGATGCCTTTTATAAAATACGAGTCAATTGGTTTTAGGCCTAAAACATATTGCTACTTCTGTAAATATTGGAGAAATGTAAACTACATCAAATCAAACTTAAAATGCCTCTCTTATCTTCTTTGTATTGCATATACATTGAAATTCAGGTGAATCCTAGGAAAACATATTTTTCGAGATTTATGATCAAATTTGCAGCCAATTACGAGATTTTGTTTAGTATTGCTATTGTAATATGATAGTTGTTGAAGTTAATGATGTCTACGTGAAATCATTGAAAACTAATACAACTCTTATAAATTATGTTCTAAACATACTCTACACAAATTTAATTGGTCTATATGCTTCACAGTAGTGTAAAGAGAAGATTAGGTTCGTGCAAGCTTTACAAAGAGTATCACTCCACATGAACGCAAGTCTAGAGTAGCTCTATAATGATCTCGATTGTTTAAAAATTAGAGAATTTAGACAAATTCGAAACATAGAAGAAGAGAGGTTCTCATAAACAAAAAAGAGACTTGCATATTTTAATAACATACCTCAGGGTATTTTGAGTTTGACATATTATGTACCAGGCCATCATCCTGTCAAAGTAATGACATAATAATTTCACAAAGTGAAACTATGTCTAATTATAAAGAATAAATAATTCATGGAAGAACCATACAATGATATATTTGATATGTTACAAAGATTGAAAGATATATCTCAAGTGAACTTGTATCTCAAGGGTAGTAAAATGCATGTGCCTTCTTTCTTCTAGAGCACTAAGTTGATTGTCTATTTGAATGCATTCTAAAAGAGCGTATCAAGAGCATAATCTTGACCTTTATACAGTAAAACCTGCTACAATTCTAAATAAAACAATGAAATATATTAAGGAAACTAAAACAGTTTGTCTTCAGCCATTGGTATGTCATGAAATATCAAAACAAAGAACGGACTACATGTACAACCATTTCTTTACTTAGTTTCCTTAAACTAACTATTTAGTAAAACCATTCGAGAATACAAGATTGAGTTGAAATTTCTGCCTATGCATTTTGGGTGACTTCATTTTGTCCTTCAGCTATCAGTTTCATCATCAACATGTGACTACACCATGGATCGGATAATCCATTTGTTGTTGACTTCACCTGTACGGTTGTACCTCCCCTGCCTGCTATGTCTAAGAAATATGATGTACATCCAACATCCTTATCTTGTAGTTTTGACGGATCACATCGACTTGCTATAAAGGAAAAAAAAAACCAAATATAAATGTTGAATGACCACCTCAACCAAAAACTTAAGCTATTATTATTTAATACTAATATCTCCAATTCGCCCCCTAAAGTTCAAGCAAATTACATTTGAAGCCTTGCACTTGAAATATTTGAAATGGATGGCGGTGGGATTCGAACTCATGACCTTTCATTTGGTCTGACTCTGATACCATGTTAAACGACTACCTCAACCAAAAGCTTAAGCTATTAGTGAAGTGTATCATTTGTTACTAATATCTCCAATAATAACAGTGATAAAACATATAAAGTATACTGGCATAATTCACTCTAGTATCCCCTTGAATGGCTCGTAGATTTTCTATAATAATATATCCCTGAAACTCTCCTGAATAGTAATGGGAACCAGATCGAAGAAACTGCAGAAAGCATCATGCTTGCCAAGTTCAGATTTGTGTTAAAGGAATTTAATATCTAATAACTTTAAAATTTCTTATGAGAGCACGACAGCGAATACAAGTGTTTTACACAAAGGCGAGAGGTATTGCCTGCATGAAGGAGATGGATGATTCAATCAGAGCCTAAAGCTTAGCTCGTGATTTTTAATTTGGAGAAAACACAAAAATCACTAAATTGAAAAGGAAACTATCTATAGCCATTGGACCCTAACCTTTAGAGGGAAAAAATATGAATTGAAAAATATAAGAAATTCATGAACAAATAAAATCATTAAAAATTCAAATAATATAGAAGATAAAACAAACATGGGGCATTAAAATTTTCGCCGTCAAAATAAAAATTACGGAAACAAGTTTATAGAAATAAATTACATAAGAAATAACTTTTAATTCCAAGTTATATTTCTGTACCATGAGATAACATAAAACCATCAGTCAAATGATTAAAATTTAGGGTAAATTTCACTTTCCCCTTGTACTTTGGTTGAATATGACTTTACCCTCTTATACTCTCAATTGCATCGATTTGCCCTCATGTACTTGAACAATTGTCTCAATATGGCCATCGCCATTAGTTTTCAGACCTTTGACCTTAACACCTTTTGATCTATGTCTGGAAATTACAAAAAGAAGCACCCCTCCTAGTTTAAATAATTATTTAAAAAAAAAAAAATTTTGGCAGACGTCGTGAACTATGTTTTATCGTTGTCTTGAATTCTTTATTATTTTATTTTTTTGTTTTTTTATTTTTTTATTTTTTTTATTTTTTTTATTTTTTTTAAATGTTAAATAATTATTTAATTGGGAGGGGTGGCGGTTTTGTAATTTCAGAGCTTACATCAAACGGTGTTAAGGTCAAATATCTGACAACTAACATCGCACCTTGAGATAATTTTTTCAATATCGGGGGGGGGGGGGGGGGGTGGGAAAATCAATGTAATCGAGAATATAAGTGGGGTAACGTGATACCGAGCCAAAGTACAAGAGGGAATGGAATTGTCCCTAAAATTTATATCACTAACCAATAGATGTAGTCAAGCCACCGAAAGTGAAGTCTCGGTGTAACTAAAACATGACAATCCAATATAACCATCTAATGCAAAACTACCAATAGCAATATAAAGCCCATTTAATAGATTATTTGCTATTTAGCCACTCACAATTCATAACATTAACAAAGATTAATAATATGGCAGTTCAACTTCCTATTTTCATAAACAGAATGAAAACCAAAATTAACTTATGGTTTTCAGAAAATGTATAGCTTAGTCTTGTTGGAGAAAGAATAACAACTTTGATGAGATTGGATCACTGCACTGGCTAAACTCAAGTCATGCAACATCACCTTTGGATTAAGAAAATAAATCAGCTGTAGGATCAATACATTTTCTTTCTTTTGGTATGAGTCCCAGATAATGCAGATACATGAATTTGAGATGACAAGAAGAAGTCAATTGAAATAGAAAGTCCTTATAAACTTCACGCATAACATTCTTAGTCACAAACTATATCACAATGAATCTCACCTGGCAATACATAAATAAAGAATTGAATGGAAACATAAAATGTAATTGCAAGTAAATTTAGTAGATAAAAGTTAAATTAACAATCCATATGCATAGATCATTGATTTTATGAAACTGACAAGTGTTTTGAATTACCTGAGTAGAAATAATTTTAAATCAATAATCCCCTTGTAAATCAATAATCCCCATGCATATAACCAATACATGTTTCATTCGGTCAATTAATTCAAAGGAATAAAAAAAAATTAACTTAGTACATAGAAGTGGGAAAAATATGCAAAATAACTTACGAACTTTATTAACAGAAGCTCAATTCGGTCTTGATATAGAGGATTTATTCCCTCTTTAATCTAGAAAACTTTATCAATTTCTCAAAATTTAGGGTTCAAACTATTGCACATATAACTGAAAACAAAAAAGCAAAGAAAAAGAAGAAGACGAAAAACAAATAGAGAAGAAAAAGAAAAGATGAAAGAGAACTTGAAAATGGAAGTTAATATCATTTTCTTTTCTTTCTTTAGTGTAACAGATGCAAAATTAAAATTCATATTGAACTATCGAGACCATTGAGTTTGTTTGAATTTATTGTATAACTAACATTTAAATATTTAATAGATACATGAGTTCATCTTTTCCGGTGCCTTTATACATTGAACTCTAAAAAATATCAATTATTTTCATAACATACATTAAAAGATTAATTCTAAATTAATATTAATTATTTTAATTTTGATAGGGGCATTTTGGTCATTACAAAAAAGGGAAGAAACCTCCCCTAACATTCCCACTTTTATAAGTAGTATAGAGTATAGATATAGATATAGAGTTTTATATTTATGTACTATGATCTTATTATTATTAAACTTTTATATATATATATATATATATATATATATATATATATATATATATATATATATATATATATAGACACGGCAATGGGCCGGTTTTGGGCCCGGAACCGGCCCAAACCGGCCCGTTGACGACCCGGCCCAACCCGTTGACCGGTGAACCGGCCCGTCGTCTCCGGGACGGGCTCGGTTCTATGAAATGGTGAACTGTGAACCGCCGGGCCGGCCCGGCGGTTCACCCGGATTAAAAAAAAAAAAAATTCAAAAAAAAAGCAAATAACGGCTAGTGAACCGGCCGTTATTAGCTTTTTTTTTTTTTAATTTCCGCCCCCTCCCAATTTTTCCTATAAATACCCTCACACCCAATTTTTCCTATAATTTACTTATTCATCAAATATTTCAAAAAAAAAAAAAAAAATTCAATTTTTCCGGGCCGACCCGGAACCGCCCTGGATAGGCCCGGAACCGGCGGGCCGACCCGGCTCGTCGAACCGTGCATGTTACGGGCCGGTTCCGGTTCCGGAAAAAGTGAACCGTGAACCGGTATGAACCGGCCCGGAACCGGCCCGAACCGGCCCGTGGCCGTGTCTATATATATATATATATGATGGAGATATAACTAGGGTTAATAGCATTTGGCCGTTTTTGATACACATAACCACCTATGGGTAACATTCCGGTGAATCTTCTAATTTTCCAGCGCATGCGCAATGCACATGCTTAATGAAAGGGTTTTTTTGGTCATTTCACCTCAAAAGTTTTTTGGAGAATTCCTCAAACGTCTTGTTGTTGATGAGCAAAAGTGCTAACAAAGAGACAACATATGAGAATTACTGGAGCAGCGGGTCACTTCCCAATTCAAGTATCTACGCCCACGCCCACTTCAATTCCACCACTTCCTTCAAATTCGTCACTCTCTAGGGGTTTAAACTTCGATTTGGGTCCCGACAATTCGTGGGAAAGCGTTGAAATTGGTTCGCCGGTCGTGAAAAGGTACCTCGGCGACGAGGAAGAACGGTGGTACATGAGGTACCACAAGCTATCTGGTGAGAATCGGAAATCCTATTCAATCGCTTCCGGAGTTCGGTTCTTCGTCTCTCTCATCCATGGCGAATTTCAGCAGATTGATGTCGTTGTTCTTCTTCATCTCTTTATTGGATATTTTTTTGCTCCATGTTGAAACAGGCGTGCGGCGGTGGGTATTTTTATTCCATGGAAGATGAAGCCACAAAGCTTCAATTAATTCGAATTTGTGAAAGTTTCAAATTAAGTTTAATTGAGTTTTTGGTACTTTCAATTTCACCCCTTATGATATTTTCAGGTAAAAAGACGAAAAAATCCTTGTACTTTCGCATGTGCATCGCGCGTGCATTGAAAAATGAGAAGATTTGCCGGAATATTCCCCTTAGGCGGTTATATGCGTAAAAAAAACAGAGTTTGGGTGTGCGCTTGCAATTTTTTTTAGTTAAGGTGGCAAAGTGCAAAAACGGGCAAAGTCCAGGTGGCGAAATGCTATTAACCCATATAACTATGTTTCTATATATGTTTTGAGTATTTATAAATAATAGGGGAAAATATAGTTTGCACCCCTGAACTATAGGGCTAGTCACAAACATCGCCTGAACTATAAAATGTAACAAAATGGTCCCTCCTTTCCAATTTCGTTTGTGGTGTGTTAACGTGGCAAGTTGACTTTCTCCAATTAAATTGTTTTGACATTTTTATCCCTCAATTTTCTATATCTATCTATATGTATAAATATGGGTTAATTGCAAATTCCACCCTTGTGAAATCTCTAATTGCCAAATAACCCCCTGTGAAAAAACAATTCACTCATGCCCCCCTATGTTAACAAAGTCAATGCATTAAGGACCCTGGAGGCAACTCGTCTCTCTCACTCGCCAATTTTGCGATTATTCAAGCTATTTTTTGGAAGGAAATGGCATAAATACCCCTTCATAAAGAGAGAAAAAATCAGATTGATTTAATTATAAATAAGCTAAATTTATAGGACCAAATTGTAATTTCCAAAGTTCACACCTTCTTCCCCATTTCCGTCGGCCCACCTCCGAGCCACTAATAAATTCTGCACCGCCGCCGTCTGGCATCACCGCCGCCCAGCCCTCCTTCAAACTCCTCTCCCTCGACACCGCCTATTTCCTCCGCCACACCTTTACCCCAACTCCTGCAACTTTGTTGCGTCTGCCATGGATGTCACCTCCATGGCAGCACACTCCCCCTTCCATCGCCGGCCAATCATCATAGGCTACTCCGAGCAGCGACCCTACCTCACTGGAGAGTGGAGACACTCCATCGGCGACCCTACCTCACTGGAGATCTCTCCGCCGCCGATTAATAAATACACCGCCGCTGTCTCTGTATATTTCGTTTTGTTGTTTGTTTAGGTGGCGGATTTATGTGGTTGTAGGTGGCGGATTTAGGTGGTGAATTTGAAGAAGAAGGTTGTGGTGGTGACTGGTGCAGGAAGGAGGCGTGATTTTTTTTATTTTTTTTCTTTTGATTTTTTTATTCATGATTATCATTATTTTAATATAAAATATAAAATACAAAATTACAACACATATAAAAACTTTTAATTTACAATATATTTTAATTCTTTGTTTATATATTTTTTACTTTTTGTAATTACAAAATAATTTTATTTTATATAATATTACATAATTATGATATAAAATTTGGTGTAATTAAAATCAATTATCCTATACTAATTGTTGAAAAAGCCCAAGGACATTTCAGTCTTTTTACCTTTAGTCAAAGCCTAAAAATAAAAAAGGTGCAGTGTGCTTCGAAGATGTTAACACAGGGGGGCATATGCGAATTTTTTTTTTATAGGGGGGTATTTGGCAATTATAGATTACACAGGGGTGGTATTTGCAATTAACTCGTATAAATATATATACATTTATAGGGGAAATCTTGCACCATGTTTACACCATTTGAGGCTGGGATTGCCGGAACGAGAAATCGAGCAAAACAAGGTTGACAAAAATTTAAAAAACACAACAACGACAGCAAAATGACGTCGCACCTAAAGAAGGCCAAACAAACACAAACCAAACACCAAAAAAGCGCTTGAAGGCTTGCGGAGCACCGGATCGGCGATGACCACCACACAAACAAAGAAGTCGACGAGGACTAGAGAGAGATTGATGTCGAGGACGAAGCACCATCACAACAAAGTTTGCACCGAAATTCACAGATTTCAAGGATTTTAGAAACGAGCAGGTTCAAATCTTGATTTTTTTCCTCTTCTATGTTTATTTATTATTAATAATTTTTTTTTGTTTGTGTGTGTTTCTGGAACAAGACTAATATAGAGGATGATTTATGAGATTTGATTGGTTTTCCTGGGAAACTTGAAAACTCGACGAGTTTTTGCAGGGAGACAAACATGGGCTTAATCGGGATTTTATTAAAGGAAAAGGAGACGAATGGTTGGTGACAATGGTGGGCGGGGATTTTTTTTTTTTTTGTGTTTTCTTTCAGATCGAAAGAAAAAAGTGCTGCAACGGCGATTTTCGGTGGATGGAAATTGTGGGTTCAAAAGTTATAGTAGCGGTGGTGGCATTCAAAGACTGTGGTGGCAGTGTGGTGGAATCGGAGAGTCGGCTTTGAGTTTGGCGGAGTAACTGTGCAGTGACGGCAAATGATTCTTCGAGTTTGACATTCTTTTTCTTCTTCTTCCTCATGATACGAATTAAGTTTCACAAATTGGAAGAAAATGCTATGGAAATTGGAAGAAAGTGCTTTGAGGGATTTTTGTATTTTTTTTTTTGTTTGGGCAGGGATGTGCCGAAAAAATGTGAGGCGCCGTTTTTCTTCCCTATTATTTTCTTGGATTTGGAATAGAAATGAACTTCATGCTCAAATCTGGGTTTTGCTGATGGTTTTTGCTGGAAAAAATAATGGTGAAAAAGCAAAGGGCTGCTCTCGAGATTGAATAGAAGGGCTTAATTGAACATATAAAGCACTCAATTGAAAATCTTAAAAACTTCATTTTGGTACTTATGAAATTTCTGGTTGCATTTTGGTATTTTTGTGTCAAAAAACGAACCCCCACTCGCATTCATGGCGAGTGAAGTGCACGGTCAGCTCTCAAGGGCCTTAGTGCCGGGTATTTGCTAATTGTTTTAACACAATGTCTTTTTCAATAATTCAAAATTACACAAGGGTGTTTTTTGCAAAAAACCCGACTTTTTTGATATTATAATTTTTAGTCGGGGTTTTTTTCGTAATTCTCCCAAAAAATACCATCTCCTTGTATAGCCCCTTTCCAAAATGAGTGGACCAAAATCAAACCTTCTTGCCATTATATAAAATTTTTGAGGGCAAATTACCAAAACCCCCATGAGGTAAGCCTAAATAACGAAAATTCCCCCCACGTTCTCGTAATTACGAAAACCCCCTTGACTAACGGTTGACCGAATTTTTTTAACCGAAAACGTGAAATGTCTATTATATCCTTCTGTTAAATATGTAAAAAATAAAAGAAAAAAGCTGAAAATGTGTATAGTCTATTGTACCCTCTGTTAAATCGTGTTAACATTGTTAAAACACGTTTCTTTTTGTTCCTAACAATAACAACGTTTTCAATATCTGATCTTTTCACTTTAATCACGTTTTTCACTTTTATTTCTCACATTCATCTTTTTCATCTATCACGATTTACCTCACTCCCCTCTTCACTTGGAAACCGCATAGAGATTAGAGAAGATTAGGGCTGAACAAGCCGTAATCACGATAGAAATTGTTATCATCACCTATCATTGCTCGAATCGCGAAGTTTACGTCCAGAATCAAAGGAAGATTTGTATGGATATTTTGTTCAAGTTTTTTAGGGTTTTAAGTTTCGGTAAAAAATTAGGGTTTTTTATTTTTGGTTTCAAATTTCTTTTTTTTCTTGTTTCTACTTTCTGATCTTTGGGTTCTTTGTTTTCTATTTTTTTCGAGTTTCAGAAGGTACTATATCTGATTCGTGAAGGGGAAATTAGGGTATTCTGATTAGTTTGGTGAAGGGGAATTAAGGAAATTAGAGAAATTAGGGTATTTTGCTTATCGTGAGGGGAAGGATAAATTACAGAAGTTAGGGAAATTAGGGTATTCTGATTAGGATTTCTAATTTTTTTTTATTTTTTGGTCTTATTTTTTTTATTTTTGGTTTATAATTTCTGATTCCAAAGAATTAATTTATGATTTTGGGGATTATTGCAAATGGTGTCTAGTTTCTTTTTTGGATTTTCTAAAAGTTTGGATTTATGTTTGTATTTGAATCTGATATGTTTTTTGTGTTTGTATTTGAACTGCAGATGGTAGATTTGTGCTATGTTATTCTACACTACAGATTAAGTGAAGTTAAATTTGATAATATTGATCCTGACAAGTATAGTTATGAGGACTTATGTCTAGCCATTAGGAGATCATTTCCTAGTATTAGTGGGGGTATTGAAGGGTTAAAGATGACATATATTAATGAGGATATTGAAGGGTTTAAAGGGTTGAGCATGGACTGTAACTTCGATGTAAAAACGATGTTTGCCTTATGTGTGGATAATTGCTTCCATGTGTTAGTTGAGGATAAAGATCAGAGAGTTGATGATGACTCTGATTCTGATTTCCAAGCCAACATTGATGAAGATGATAACAGAAGTGAAGTGCCAAGTGATGAAGCTAATGATGATGATGATGAACTGAGTGGATATGAGTCAGATAATCATTGCGAGCATACAAATTGGTCTGATGAGGAGCTGGATAATGATTCATTACAAGGAGGCATGGATTTTGGGGATACTATATTCACTACTGAACCTGGGGAAAATATCAAGTTAAAGAAAGGTCAAGTGTTTACTGATGTGTATCAATTTAGACAAGTGTTGAAAGATTACATCATTCAAGAAGGCTTTCACTGTGTGAGAGATAAGAATGAAAAGCAGAGGGTTAGAGTACATTGTGGGGTAGGGGTGGGCATTCGGGTCGGGTCGGGTTATTCGGGTTTTTTGCAAAAAAAAAATTACCCGAACCCGACCCGAGATAACCGGGTACCCGGCAACCGGGTACCCGGTTATTTCGGGTCGGGTTCGGGTCGGGTTCGGGTTTTGCTATTTTCCTTTTTTTTTTTTTTTTTTTTTGGAAATAAATAGTAACTAAATTTTACGTTAGATATACATATATATACTGACATATATATATAGAAATATTCCTATACATATACATTACCTATATATTTATATATATTAATATATATAT